TTTATTGGAAACCAAATTTTATATTTTTTACAATTTTCTTATATTTTCATAACTACTTTAACAAATAATTAAATGCAAAAAATTGGTTGTTGTACCCCAAATTGTTTCCCTTAACAGTAAACAAGAAAGAAGGCAGCTAAAGTCAGAAAAATGCTCTGCTGATATTTGCAAAGTAAGCCAATTCTCCTCTCTGACCTCTCAGTAAGTTACCCTGAGGATATTCAACCATCTCCAAACACATTAAACAAATGGGCAAACTTTCTTTACACAAAGTATTATCATTTTTTTATTCATCTTAAAGATGACCTGTGCAGTTTTCTTGAAAAGAAATGAAATCACATTGCAAAGCCTCAGCTTGTTTTACATAGCATCAAATCAGAGATAATGTTCTGTGAACAATGCGAAATTGAAACATGCCAACCATTTAATCCCATACTGTCGTTTCACAATACTCACCCAAATTCTGAAGTTATTTCCCAAATCCTCAGACTAACAATATAGAATTAAACATAATTCGGTCCAGTCTAGGAAAAACAATAATTTTAATCACTTTCTTTATGTCCATTTGTCTCATTAAAACAAAGATGGTGAAAGGAATAACATTGTTACTCTGGCTTTGTGTGAAAGTGGCTCAACTTCCACAAAAAACATCGATAAAGATGACATGATTTCCTGTCACCATCTTAGCTCAACTGAAAAGAAGTTGTTTTATCTGAGAAACTGACAAATTATATTTTTGCTGGACTGCATTGGATTATTTTTGATTCCGCATCATTAGAAGAGTTTGAGGATTCGGGAAATCCTTCCGAATTTGGGCAAGTGTTATGAAACGACAGTACATGGTCAAAACAATCAGCGAGTCTCAATTTTGCACATTCAGGGAAAACTATCTCTGACTTGAGCTTATGTAATACATAATAGTCACAAGCTGCAGTTAGTGTTGCACAGCTACACTTCTTGCCCCCCCTCAACTATCAATTTGTACTACAAGTTGTACTCCAAACAAGCATGGCTCTGCCTCCGCCCAGTGTGATTTACCTCAGCCAATGATATTGCGGCTGCCTCTGTAAAATGTTTGTGTCACTAAAACTCCAATCTGCTAATGGCCACATAAAACAGCATTTCACGCTGAATAGACTTTTGTGTGCTCTATTCCTGCACACTGAAAAAAAATAAAACCCGCTCCAGCTATTTACAGCTAGTCTGCTTGATACAAACAACATGGCACCTGCAACTATTCAACAAGGGCACTTTCAAATTGCTTGTCATCAGTAAAAGCTGCAATTTCTGCCACAAAAAAGGAATAAAGACACACAGCCGGTGAAAACATACGAGCCTCTGTTGTTGTAATCAGGTGGAAATTGCGAGGCCTTTGCACACATTCCACCTGCTGCTGGGAGTGCTGATATACGACAGGGCTGCACGGCGTGGCATCCTCCAAGTATATAATGATCCAGATAATTATTGATGTTCATCTTTGCCTTATGTTCAGATTAAGCTGACTGCATGGGACAAACACTGGCTTAAAAATGAGCTTTTTCAAGTCAGGAATACCAGTGCACACTTCTCCCTGCACACACTCATTTCTGTAATTGCTTCCTCATATTGGTTAATGGTGCTGGATGTTTGTCCAGAAAATCCACACAGAGATCCTTAAATGAGCAAACGAGAAGCAGAGATTAATGTGCTGTGTTTAAACCTAACCTTTACTGTAAGTCAAGTGTTCTGCCAGGTTATTTCTAATTTAAAACTGGAGCTATACTGTACCAGCTCCTAAACATCCTCATCCTTATTAAAGACATTTCAGGACATGCTGTAGCCAGGAGGCATGGTTCAAATATATATGATTCAGTGTCATTTGCAGAGGAAATCTCAGTTTTAGAGGAAGTTAATTCTGCCTTTTGCAACTGCAGCAGTGACAGATGTAGTCTGTGGGCCAAGGCTTTTCTTTAACTGTCCTGTAAGAGTTGCTGCTGAGCCTGTAAGGCTCACTAATTACCACATAAATGCATCTAATTCAGATTGTCTTCAGTTAGATATTTAAATTATACTTTAACTATAATAAAGCACTACTAGAGATTGTCCTCACAAAATATCATTTGTTGGTTCAACTGCTAGTTTTCTTTAAACAAAAGTCCCCTCATGACCACGTCATTTTGGTCTCTAAACTTCACAAAACCATAATGTTGTGCGATTTGTGGTGATCAGAAATTATATGCATTTTGGATGTTAGTGACAAATGATGATAATGTGACAATAATGCACCAGAAAAGAAAATGCTCATATGGGTCAGTCTAGAAGGCAATGACAAGCACCCTATTCTGTCATCACTTAGTTCTGGAGGACATCTTGACTGTTGTATTGGCGCCTTTTCCTCGATAAAACCACAAATTTATGTCCTGTTTTCCTTACAAAGGACTGGCAAACATCCATCTGTGGTCAAACCATACTTGCACAAAAAGTCATGAAGAACCAAAAAAGAACCATGAAGAACCAAATGGGTGGAGTGTGTCACAAGCCCTAAAAAGGGGTTTCAAACTGTATCCAAGTGTAGTTTTTTTACCCAGATGAATAGTTTCATTAATGCAGATCAGCAATGCTGCAATGCCATAAGTGTTAAATGTAAAATGTTATGCATATAATTTTACAGCTGCCTTGAAAAGTACTGGAGTAAACGTATAGAGCATTATTAAAAGGAAATACAAGTACTTCAAAAATGTACCTAAGTACAGAATTTGATAAAGGTACTTACTGAACTTTCCTTTTAATATGCAACTTTTCCTGTCACTGACAATTGACAGCCCTAAAAACAGCATTAATGTAAACTCCACCCATCTGGCACAAAGAGAAGTTTAAAACAAATGTTCTGATTTTGCAGCTCCTATTTGTGCCTTCTCTGGTACATAGTGTGTTTATTTGAAGTTAAAGGGTGTGGCAAAAGTCGGGTAATGAAACCCAGCTGTAGGCCTCAAAGACACTGGATGACTTCCCTCACAACACAGGCCAGTGAGAGGGCCGACTCGGAGCCTAACACAACAAGAAAATCAAAAAAATACAAACAAAACAAGTGATTTGCACACAAGAGACAAATAAATCAAGCGCGGCCCGTCCACTGGAGAGAGGTTTTTGTAAACAAGTGGCCACGCTAAAACAATACATCTGGATTTCCTCTCGGTAAGCGTCGATAATCATCGCTCACTGTTTACCACAGTGGAGAGGGGTTCCAGCCCCAGCAGCCTCAGGATCCCCAATAACACAAACGAAGCTGGATTCACTAATGCTGATCTGTGATGATGCATTTATTCACAAAGATTTGGCACAGCGTGTCTCGCTACTGTCCAACTAGATCAGACAAAATCGAGGAATCATATCCTTTCTATGCTAAGACAGTTTCGCTTCAGTACATTTTCAGCAGAAAACCTGAGTTTAAACATGATTGTCACAAACTTACCACCTAATTATGAGAAGATTTCTCTTTTTTTAAATGTATTCTAAATGTCCTTAATATCTGAGGCCATGGAAGACTTTCTCCCCAGCAACACTTCCTAACCATCCCAAAACTAATCACTTCTCGTTATGGAAAAAAAGAGCTGATCATATGCAAAGTGCTCAACATCAATGTCTTCATATTCTCGTTTGAGAAATTCATTGCGCAGTGAATTCCCTCAGGAACGCTGCAGCCAAGTTCCTGCCTTGCAAAAGTTGTTTTTTTTTTTTATTCTCTCACTTTAATTCAACTTGGCACGTTATTTCTCAGAAACACCATCGGGCTCAGGGGAGAAACAGACGTGGTCTCACTTGTTAGTGCGGGTTTTAGTGCTGAATAAGGATCAGACAATGGCTGAGGGGAGAGGGGCGGCAGTGTAGCGAGGTATTGACACAGGAGATATTGCCTGAACAAAGTGGATCTGTGAGAAAAGAGAGCGAGCAAGCGTGAAGAAAGAAAAAAAGAAAGATTATCTTAATTATCATTCAGGAGCTGCTTAGTGCAGCACCTGTGCATGAATAATGTCATTTATAGGCACATTGAGATGTGCATAATTCCCCCTTAAATCACACACATTAGCAGCATAACAAGGGATGAACAAGTCGGGCTCTCGCAGGCTCAACTAGGAGCGAGAGGGTTCATTGTCAGCCCCTCACCTCTTCAATAAGAATGTATTTCTTTATTCAAAGACTCCACTCTTCTCTCATTTAACACTTGCTATTCGGTCCAGAAGAGTTGTGAGGTTACATATCCTGAGTCATATTACCACGCTGGGTTTCATTTACAACTTCAAAACAGAGGATATTTTAGGGCTTGAAGTGCGATTTAACAGCAAAGAGGTTGTACAGTCACACTTCTTTGGAAGTTAAAACAGTAAGAGGCTCCTACTAATTGACACATCATTGTAATGGTATGGGTCAGCGTCCATGTAAAAAAAAACACAGCTTGAATCTTAAAGTGGATACAAGATGTTTTGCTTCTGTACTTCCAACAGGCTCGACAAAAACTGCTTCCTCTCAGACACACTTAAAACTAAAGGTGAACTCACAAGTAGTCCACAAAAATCCCAAATTTCTGTCATTGTCACAGAGATACCACAACCTGAACACAGCAAACCTAACTAGAAAAAGTAGATTAATTTATTAAATGTGTGAAGGTCACAGAGGGCAACAGGAGGAGTGGGACTAGTAGTAGTCACCGTACAGATAGCACTACCTGCAGTAATAATGACGTAGTAGTGGGGGCAGCACTACAAGTAGTAAATGTAGTAGTAACTATTAATTTACTAGTACTATTGTAGAAGCTGCACTAGTATACTGTATGTTATTGTATTCAAAGCTCCAATCCAATACAAAGCATCAGTACTGCCACCAGTACTAGCCTTACTAAATGAACACGTACACACTGCATATTCACATTAAAGCGTGGGAAAAATACACACTGCAGTGCATATTCACATTAAAGCGTGGGAAAAATGATTCTTTATTTGCGCGTAGTTGCAGTTTTATCTTACCTCTTTTAGTCGGACACTTCTTCATGCGACAGTGTGTGCTGTGTGATGATGATGAGGTCCACTGCTTTCAGACCGACTGGGGGTTTAGTCTCTCATCTGAAAATAAATAAAGGAAGTACCTTCAACCTCATATCTTCAACATGCACACCTCTTCTCACTAGGGCCAGACCAGCTGAGTAAATATATGTCTATACATTGTCTTTTTACAAAATAATAAGGAACTGTGAGCTGCTGGCCACAAGCTCTGGTTATGTGTGGTGGAAAAACTAATCGTTTACTTAAGTAACAACACCACAGTTTCGAAATACTCAGTTACAAGTAAAAGTCATACATTAAAGATTTTACTGAAGCGCAAAAGTATTTGCATCAAAATATTCAAAAGTAATACTTATTATGCAGCATGGCCTGCTCACATAATAATTATTGATGTGATAATGAGTTTGCATGACTAACAGAGCTGCTGGAAAAGGTGGGCCTTATATTATTTACTTTATGTACTGCTGAATCCAAAGTAGTATTACACTAAATGTGCAAAGTAACCAAAGCTGTCAACAGTAAACACACTGGAGGAAAAGTATGCAAGTTGTCTAATGTAAGTTCTTAAAATTAAGTGCTCAGGCCTCAAACTGAGTACAAGCTTGGAATTTCCCAAAACCGTCCAGATTCTAGAGCTGGAAAGTGTTTGTCATCCAGACAAGACTGTGTTATGCTGGAGACACGACGATGCAGAAAGGATGCACACAGTACAAAATGAGAGTAGTAACAAGTCTGTCATCACGGAGGAACGTCAAATATTCCACCCCGCTGCCAACTCCTCAGTGCAGTCTGCCATTGTCAAGGCCCGGCCTACGCAGTCAAAAGTTCACGACAACAACGGAGGGCATTGTGGATTTTGTCTAATCAGAATTGCCTTCCTGTTAGAGCCATGCACTTCTGAATTCTAACTATGCCAAAAGAGATGTGGAGTAGGATTACACTCGGAGTATGTGGACCTCCTCTGTGCTGGGGTCAAACTGAAAATTTAACACACACTGAGCACTCGTTTTTAGCCTGGGTCGAAGGCCTGGTGGGCAGGCTTCGTCCTTCTGCGAAAATGTCAGTCACAGATATGTTAGTGGATGTCAATGCGTGGGGAATGAGCGCACGTTCTCACACATTATTCCCAAAACTGAGAGCTGCTGCACTTATTGTTTAAGATGAACAACCTTTCTTCCAGCAGTCAAAACCTACAGCTGCTCTCTCTGGCATCTTAATAAATCTATAAATCTTCATCATTTTCACATGCATATGTACAGTGCTTATAAAAAGTATTCACCCCCTTGGATGTTTCACCCTTTTATCGATTTTATAAATCAATCATGGTCAATATAATAAAAATTAAAAAAAGACAAAAAACCCTATTTATTGTCAAAGTCAAAACAGGTTTCTACAAAGTAATGTCAATTAAATAAAAATATGTAATGGGAAATAAGTGACTGTATATTCACCCCCTTCAAAATGACCGACCTAATTCAGAGGTCCAGCCAACTGGATCACCAGAGTATGTCTCAAGGTTATTGAAAAGTATAAGTCAGGGGATGGATACAAAAACATTTCCAAGACACTGAACATCCCTGGAGTTCAGTTAAACCCATCATCAAGAAATGGAAGGAATATGGCACATGTCTAAATCTGCCTAGATCGGGTTGTCCTCACAGAGTGACCATGAGACTCTGCATACAACAACTGTTGCCGGGGTTCTTCACCAGTCAAAGCTTTATGGGAGACTGGCAAAGAGAAAGTCACTGTTGAAGAAAACTCATTAAATCTAGACTCAAGTTCACCAGAAGGCATGTGGGAGATTCCATGGTCAAGTGGAAGAAAGTTCTTTAGTGTGATGAGACCAACATGGTGCTTTTTGGCCATCAGACAAGATGCTATGTTTGGTGGACACCAGACGCTGCACATCACCACAAACACACCATCCCCACCATGAAGCACGGTGGTGGCAGCATCATGCTGTGGGGATGGTTCTCAGCAGCTGGCCCTGGAAGGCTTGTAAAGGTAGAGGGTAAAATGAATGTGGCAAAATATAGGAAAATCCTGGAGGACACTCTTATTCAGTCTGCAAGAGAAGTACGGCTTGGGAGAAGATTTATTTTCCAGCAAGACAATGACCTGAAGCATACAGCGAAAGCTACACAGAAATGGTTTAAAGACAAGGTGAGTGTTGTGGAGTGGCCGAGTCAAAGCCCAGACCTCAATCCAATAGAGAATTTGTGGCTGAACTTAAAGGGCTGTTCACGCCTGATCCCCACGCAACCTGGCAGAGCTTGAACAGTTTTGTGAAGAAGAATGGAGTAAAATTGCAGTGTCCAGATGTGCAAGCCTGACTGAGACCTATCCACACAGACTCAGTGCTGTGACTGCAGCCAGAGGTGCATCTACTAAATATTGACTGGAAGGGGGTGAATATTTATGCAGTCACTTATTTGACATTACATATTTTTATTTAATTGGCATTACTTTGTACAAACCAGTTTTCACTTTGACAGAGGTTTTTTTTTTTGTATTTTTTTGTCAAAAAAGCCAAATTATATTGAACATGATCGATTTATAAAATCTATAAAAGGGTAAAACATCCAAGGGGGTGAATACATTTTAAAGGCACTGTATAATGTGTGCCTGATGACCCCCCCAAGAAAAAAAACAACAAAAAAACTGACTTTACCATCCTGAACCACAGGAGCAACACAGTAATTTCTATTCAGATCATTATTCTTAATACCTCCGAGTGTTCTGGTAATATTTGATAATTGCAGTGCAGTGACCTTAGGACATGTGCCATTATGAGTTTAAAGGATGACGACTAATCTGATTCCCTCTGTATTCACAAGGCCCTGTCAACACTCAGTATCATGTTTGAACTCAAGTTTCATTTTTCTTCCACTATTTGATATCTTTAAGATACTGTAATACAAATAAATTATTCATGTCAATTAGCTTTTCATCTTCCAAGATACGAACTTGTGTGATCCCTTTAACAACTATTTATTTCATGCTGAAACAGAGCTCTCCCTGGAAGCCCACTGCTATCGCCTCAGGACATGTCTTTTAAATAAAAGCATCAGAGCTTTGCATACCTACAATTTGCATATTAAAGGCACTGGGAGACAGATGATAGAAGAATTGGGTGAAGCAGTCTAATCATCACTCAACTCTGACTAGAATCCCAAATTCTTCTGGGTTTGGCCTTCAGAGATGCAGCAGCAGCAAAGAACACAAATCTTTTCCAGTTATTATTGTTAGGTTTTGTTGAAGCTTGGCTGGTTGTTCCTGGGAGTCAACGGGCTCAGTCGTGGCGTGTTTTTCTATGTGTCCGACAGCGTTTCTGACAACTCAATTCCCTCAGCTGCTCTTGCTTACAAGTTGAAAACACACATTGGAGGATGGATGAGAAGAGCTGACAAGCTTCAGGTTCAAGATCTTAGAGGATAAAAACTCCTGTTTTTCACAGCCTTCTTTTTCAGTTACGATACACAGTACAAACAAAGTAACTGCCGAGATCTAGAAACAACAACACTGCAACAAAAAAGCCCAACAGGGCAAGAAACACAAACTGACAAGTGTTCAGACAGAATGTAGAATAAAGGCAACAAATTACCTCAATGGTACTGTTAATTATCTTTCACTGCTCAGAATAACTCCATGTGAACAACTTGACATACCTGGTGGTTTGTTTTAAACCTGAATGGTCATTTAAAATTTCAGTTTTATTTGTATAGCACCAATTCACAACAACAGTCATCACAAGACACTTTACAAAGTAAGGTTATTATTATTATTATTATTATTATTATTATTATTATTATTGAGGAAAATCCCAACAAATCCCCCTTGAGCAGCACTCGGCGACAGCGGGGAGGAAAAACTCCCTTTAATGGAAGAAACCTCCGACAGACCCCGGCTCTTGGAGGGCGGCCTTCTGCATCAACAGGTTGGGGTGAGTGGATAGCAGAGGGCAAAACAACGAAAAGCAACAAGACCAAA